TAAGCAAGCATGGCAACAACACGTCGTTCTTCGCAGCAATTACAGTGCTTTCCACTATCGCTCAAAGCATCATAACACTTGTGTTAAGCCATTAACTCTTTCAATATTACCGAAGTGGACTGCATGAAAAGGGAAGTCAGCATGTGTTCGTACCAAGTTAAGTAAAGAGTAGGAACATTAAACTCAATGTCATACAAAAACTAGAAAATGGTGGCTATAAACACATTGAGCATGTATTGTACATATATTGAGTATATATCGTATAGACTGAAATGTTTAACAAATTATAATTAGACAAATTATCAAAGATGCCGGTAGATAGCATGGATACTCCCAATTTCCGTTAACTCAAGCCCTGTAGACTTTACTAGCTAACAATTTCTTCAAGCTAAACAAAACAAAGAATCAGAGAAAATATTGATTTAACTTATTTGGCAAATTCACACGTAATGCACTAATTAAACAATATCGAAACTGACTTGTGCGGCGCGTATGCTTAGAGTTTACTATATGCATGCATGTATATTTCATTTTTAAAAAAATGCGGATTGTTGCTTAAGTTAATACAAAGGAAAGTTAAGGTATGTACAATAAGGCTAATGTATGCAAAGTAAAGTTTTACTTAAACAACCAATGATAATGGACCATATGTTTTATAACAGCGTTGGGAGTGTGTCAACGTTCTATGCAATATATATCATCTAGGAAATTTTGGCTCTTTCCTAAGCTTTTTATCGAAAATATTCCAATTTTAATTTCTTAAAAACCCACAATCGCCCAAAAAAAAAAGAACATGCAAATAAAAGGGAAAAAAATTATAGAAGGCCACCTTCAATATAATTACTGTGTTTTACATAATTTATAATGACTGACAAATCGATTGTTTGAAAGCCTTTAATTGAAAACATCAAATGAAGTCATATGATGACGAAATATGCTGTGCAATTCTATACGTATCGAACATGTGTGTCTGGCGTGTTTTATTGTCTGAATTTTTGTTTCTTATTCTAGATCAGGTTAACTAATCGGCTTACCTTTGGATTGGCACTCAACGTACCACATCAAACATATTAAGCTGAAATAACATGCATTATTCCTAGAGAGTAAAACCGAATATCTAGTTATCCTATTACTATAGCAAACAATCCCTATTGCATCAAAGTCTCTCGGCAACTGAGATCTTTCATTCATTGCTATTTCGGAATGTATAAATGGAGAACACCCTGTCGGAGTTATTACTCTGCAAGTACTCGGAATGGCTACTGGGCTTGGCAAATTTTAACAGTTCGTTTACTGCTATATCGATATACAATGCATTCCAGATAGGTGAAGTCGTTTCTAGAAGCTACTCTATACCAGATGTGACAATCTTATTTAACAATATTCTTAAAAATGTGTTATAAAAATGTTATCTGTGCCGCCCTGAAATTGTTGGAGGCCCCTCAAGCAGAACTATTGTCAATGAAAAACGATCACTTGAGTTAAAATCAAGGACCTAAATTATAGTTATGACGTTCAGATACTTTAGCTAGTGATAAAATTTTTAAGGTAAAATATATCTGTATATTTACGCCAACTGTAAGTCCGCCATGATATATAACAAGATCTTATTGTAATTGGTTTTTCAGCTAACTCTTGCTATACCATTTTTGGATATACGTTATTCAATGCATGCCATATTTACCATGACCTGTTTATGTTTCCAAGTAAGGATGCAATGTCCTTATATGGTACACAAAAACGAGGCTAAAAACGGAAATAGTTATTAGATCAACAAATATCGCAGATGATCCAAATGAAAATTTCAAATAAAAAGGCAAATGTTTACATGTATTTCTACAATGAAATTCAGCAATTCTAATATTAAAAAAGAGGATTATTTAACAAAATTGTAATATTTTGGGGAGTTCACACAAATAATCTAGAAAACGAAAAAGGACCAGAGGTATGATTTCAGTTATCATTAGACTACTCCGTCACCGGGATCCACTGCCTTTAATAATAATAATAATAATAATAATAATAATAATAATAATAATAATAATAATAATAATAATAATAATAATAATAATAATAATAATAATACCAACATCAGCAATAATGCCTTCATTATTATTATTATTATTATTATTATTATTATTATTATTATTATTATTATTATTATTATTATTATTATTATTATTTATCTAGGTGTGAGTATTTAAGTATGTAAATGTGTGTACTTAAGCTGCATGCATGCATTTTTATGCATGGTTAATTTACATCGTGCATCAACTTTTCTCATCGATTGATGGCTGTGGACTGTTTTGCAAATCTGAGAATTCTCATGATTGTGAATGAGGTTAAAAAATGGAATTTTGGCTATTTAATTTATGTTATGACTATGTTGTAAACAAAATTATAATTCAAGAGCTAGTCTGAGTTTCTGGTGGAAATTATCGTTTTCCAGAACATTATGTTTTCTATAGTAGGTTGGGGGTGGATTATATACCGGTTTGGTGAACAATTATTCATTTCTCTTTCATGATCACTATGTGGAATCAGTTACAGCTTTGTGTCACACATAATTTGGGAGGAGGTATATTTTTATTTATTTACTGGAATTACAAAGTGCTCATTTGCTGTTTGAACTACAACACTACTTTGGTATTATTGAGAACTCACTCAAAGAATTTCTGTAGTGTATCATTGTGGTGCATCAAGATCATCCAGACCTTAAATTCTATTTTTGAATAAATAACCATCCGTTCGGGAATCAGACCGTTCCACAAATGAGTTATTAAAACGGTAAAAATTTATTTAGAGCTCACTTTCTCTGATTTCATTCCTTTGTAATGATTTCCAATTTATTCTGGATGCTTTCTTTAAAGAAAGATAACAGTCCACATTTCTTTTGACATGATGGAAATGGTTAACTATTATTATCGTATAAGAAATTCAACTATTATTCTAATGAAAATCGATGCTTAATGCTGAATATATTTTTTTGTTTCAAAATAGAAATTTGACGAATGAGTTTAATATAAAATATTTTACTCTATATAAGTTTCCACAATTCCATCATTTCACCAGCTTTCATGTTTAAGTTTGTATTAGGACAGTAAAATTACTTTATAAGCGCTATAACTAGAATTTTGCCCATGTTTAGGAGGCACTCTCCAGATAGTCACACGTATAAGGTGAAGTAGCTTACATTTCATTATACATTTCTTCTTATATTTCTTTATATATTGAACTTTTAGACATTGACATAATGCATGCACACACTTGACTAAACTTTTTTTTCCTATGTACTTGAAAAATCAGTCTGAATTAGTCACGAAAACAAATATTGCAAGAGAACTAGAACTATCTTCTAAAGGTACAATGAATAAAGTACAAATATATAAGAACCAAAACAAGCTATCGCTCTCATTTTTACAATTTGTTTTCTCAAGTCCATGAACTAATTTAGATTCAAAAGATTTAAAAGTACACAACGATCTATATTTTTAGAATATTTTTTTTTTAGAAAACGCGTTTCGGGGCCCTTAGAGGCTGAGGCCCGGACCAACTGGCCCTCCTTTCCCTCCTCTCTGATTGGTTCTCAGCAAGTCATATTAAGCCATTTCTCATACATTATTTTAGTGGATTTAGAGACTTCCCAAACGCTTGAAGTTTAAATTCCAAAGGTTTCATCATCATTTTAATAATGTCTAAAGTAGGATACATTCCTGTAACCATGAAAGTAATAATTATAAAATAAAATGGGATAGCGATGTACATTTGACAACATCTGCAACCTACTGAAATCGATCAAAGATACACATAACAAAATAATGTACATTAATATAAAATATATACGTACAAGAGACACAATAATGTACATACATATAACACAATAAAGTACGTAAAGATTTCAATCTGCACTAGTTTTTATGTATCGATTTTGAGAAGAAAACTGCATATTTGAATACTTGCATAATTATTTCTCTTCAGTAAGAAATTGATTGAGTTAATCTCTCTCTCTCTCTCTCTCTCTCTCTCTCTCTCTCTCTCTCTCTCTCTCTCTCTCTCTCTCTCTCTCTCTCTCTCTCTCTCTCTCTCTCTCTCTCTCTCTCTCTCTCTTATGCAAATACACACAAGAAAATCGAATCGAATCGTTTAATTGTACTACAGTGGGTTTGGTTGTTATTTAGATATTCTATCCCCAACATTTGCTATAGATATTACTCGCCGTTACTTAAAGTTCATCGAAAATAGAATAAGCCCTCGATAATGTACATGAATAATGCATATTGTACGGTCCTTGATACTGTACATAAATACTGTATATTGTACGGCTTTCGATACTGTACATGAATACTGTTTACTCTACGGCCTTCGATACTGTACATGAATACTAATTGCGAATATAGCATGTACAACAACTGAGTTATGAAGCAATTTTTTTTACTTTAATTACTGATTTGCGTCGATTTAAAATGGTTGATTGGATATTAGCTTTGCGAGATTCTTTTTTATTCATATTTTCGATACAATACGAAAAAAAATGAGTGTGTGCAGCTATGTAAACTATTTGAATTAATATGTGGCCTATTACTGAAGTTACCACTACATTACATATCAAGGCAAACGTTTATTATGTGAAAATGACCGTAGCAGAGGAAATATTAATATTTAGTATGTACATGATTTTGCACAATATAAGAGAACAATCTATTTTCGTCAAGTATTGTTTTATTGTGTTATGTAATTTAATTAGTTGTTTGTTAGATTTAATTTTTTTATTCCATTACATGTTATTGTAATGAGTGTGTGTGGTAGGATTCAGATTTTAAAAAATTTTCAGTCAGTTTAAAGTGATGTCTAGCACTGGGACATCATGTCGCATACGTGTAGCATGATGTCCCGTCCAGTCACATTATTCTGACACCAAACCGACCAGTCCTAACACTAACATCTTAATACTGAGCGCCTAGCGAGGCAACTGTTAGTACCATTTTTGTAAGTCTTTGGTATGACTCAGCCGGAGTTCTAACCAACGACCTCTCGCATCTGAGGCGGACGCTCTAACCACTAGGCCACCGGAGCGGTCTTATTGTAATGATAACTTTGTCTACTGAATTTAATGTTTTAGAAATTCAGTTCAGGTCTGTATGACATGATAAACAATCAGTAGTTGAAAAATTGTATCTAGTTTCTGACTGATTCAAAAATCAGATAGAGTTCTAGCAAAGAACTCTTACTTTTTTTAATTCAGTCTTATAGTAAGATTCATTCGGTGGAATCAATGCCATACGTAGAGTACGTGATAATTTGCATGTAAAAATATTATACCTTGTTCTAGAAGGTGACCATGTGACCCTCATACGGGAATCAGATTGCGTCTTAACTTACTGTATAACCGTTTTCTTGAGAAGAACTAGCCTGTTTGGCTAAAAAAAGTCTTCGTTTTATAAAGGTGTCTTGTTATGACCAGCTTGAGTTGAGGTTTTATTTTGTGGAATTATTGATTCTTTCCCTGAAAAATGCTCGTGTTCATACAGAAATTCTTGGACAAGGAAAATTATCGAAATTTTTTCAGAACTTCTAAACTGGAATATTATTTTCGTGATTCAACAAGGAACTGTTGACATGCCAACACTTTTAAGGTTACGACATACGTCATCACCCTCCATTTTGATTTCATCGGGACTCGAACATAGATTCTTCAAGAATTTTCATTGATAAGACTTCAAATTTCTTATTCTTGGATTAATTTTGGATTCGATTCATAAATCGTAAATTTCTGTCTCATTTTTACCTTGTTTTTCTAGGGATTGTTATTTTTTTACAAAGCTTGCTGTCTTCACTCTTGTTACTTTTGTACGAGCCTAGACACGTAACAATTGGGATATGTTAGCAAAGTGTTAATCAGTCATGACACGCGATCTGATATAGGTAACATAAAACTCTAACCTTTAGTATTTGATATGGGCTTATTCTATCAGCTAATCCAAAACGGGCTTCGGAAAATAATGTTATTGGTCAACATATTATCTCAAAGTGAAGAGATTTTTTATTTCTATGGCAGGAATATGTTTGTTAAATTCCGTCACCGACCCGATCAAGTCAGCCCACGTATTGTGTTTCTAGTCAAGACACTCTACTCCGATTTACCATGCAGGATATAAAAGTGTATGTATTGATGTTTAATTAAGTCAGCTAAAGCCAGCTCAACATTTCTTATCTGTAAAAAAAAGTGTCTTTGTATCCAACGATAATTGTATTTCCGGACAAGAATACCTGACTCTTTATTGTGCCTTGATGCAATATGCATTCATGTATGTTTATATGGATGAATGGATGTGTGTTTGTGGGAGGGTATGTGGGTGGGGGTGGGGTGTAGAAAGGAAAATACCCTAATGTCACGAGGATTAAAAGCCTTTATTAGTTAACCCATACCAATGCACGATCGTGTCAATTACACTTGTACTCAAATAGTATTGGCAGTACAGTCCTACCCACTTATATCGACATCACTTATGTCGACAAACCGCATATTTCGACAAAAAAAGCATAGTCCAAGTTCTTTAGTTTACTATTACTACCAACATTGTCATGCTTATATCGACGTCGAGATAAAACTAAACGTACGTGTCGAAAGAAGAACTTGGTTCCAGCTTTAACACATCCTTTGTTTTCTAATCATGTATGTCGACAAGTTGCCAGTTCTGACCCATACTTTGTTCAACAATTTGTTGATCTTGCCTCCAGGCTTTAAGTTTCCATTCTAATCATTTATGTCGACAGAAGCCCTTGGTGTTATGTTTACGAGAAGCCCTTGGTTTATTTATATTTACAATGGCTACCATCACAGCTTGAACAAATATTTTGTTTTCTAATCATGTATGTCGACATGCTGCCAGTTCCGACCCATACTTTGTTCAACAATCAGTTGATCTTGCCTTCAGACTTTAATATCACTGTCGGATGGCTTTTGTTTGCTCCTATAATGTTGGCCTCTGGCGACAACTTAAATAAAAGCAATGAAATCTGATCGATTTTTGCATTTTCTAAAGGGATCGATCGATGATTAAAACAGGTTCATTGAGCTGAGAAAGTTTCTTTGTTGACTTTATTTATATTTATGATGGCTACCAACTGCAGTGTAAAACGCAGATTAAATTTACGGTTTCTGGTAACTAAATATCTGGCTGTTAAGGAAGTTGAGGTTTAAGCATCTTGCAAAGATGAAAAATTTTCTCTTAAACATAGCACCCTGTCAGGATAGATGAAACCTGCAAAAGCTACAAAGAAAGACTATGTTGAATGTAACTGTGCTCCCAAAAGGAAGGAGCAGAAGACTGCTAAATTTGAAGACGTGGAGGAGGCCACATCAAATTGATTCAATGAAACCTACATTGCACGTTCCACATTATCCATAGACTGTGATATTATCATTGAGAAAGCAAAAAAAATTGCGAAAAGAACTTAGTGTAAAGAACTTCGCTGCAACTAATGGTTGGTTGAATTGCTTTAAAATTCTTCATAACATTTGATACAAAAGGATTTGTGGAGAAGCTAACTCAGCAGACACATCATAGATTGATGGATGGAAAGCCAAACTTAAAGATATAATAGAGAATTATAAGTCTGATGATATATACAATGCGGACGAAACAGCTTTATTCTTTAATTGGAATGAATCTAAATACAAGGGCTGACATAAATAAATAAAGAAAATGTTACTCACTGCGCTACGCAAACCAAGTATCCTCATCATGATAATAGCTATTATTATCATTATTTATCATAAATATAAAGAGAGAGACGACCCAGAACAAACACCAAATTACGTAAAACAATAGGTCTTTTTTATAATATCTAGTGCACCTTCTCAACCTCAAGATATAAGTAAAAAATTTCCAAATTCATAATTACTTAAATTTTTCAATAAAAAAATAAATACAACATGTACAGGGGATACAGTAGGAAATTTGGGATATTTTTTGATAGATATTATAGAACACTATATAGCAAACACACAATATAGCATAACACATATAGCATACACAAGACTTAGGAAACCTCTAGCAAAAGTCACAAAAATTTGGAAAAGGCGAGAGACACCAAGAAAGTAATTGAAACTTTTTCGGATGAACGAACCTTTAGATACATTAGGGAAAAAATTCCCCGTCAAAAATTATCAAAAATAAATTTTTGATCAAACTTATTTTTAAAGAAAAATACTACATTACATCGCATCTGGGGGAAACAGAAACACATGAATTACTTTTTCCTTTTTTGGCTAGAATGGAGGGGGGCATCTGTCTTGTGCCCCCAAAAAAGAAACAGCTTTATTCTTTAAGTGTACTCTAGACAAGACATACTGCATCAAAGATCAACCATTTGTTGGTGGGAAACAGCCTAAAGACCGCAACTCTGTTCGAGTCACATCGAAATAATTGACAATGATAAAATGCTACTTCTAGTTATTGGCAAGTCTAAGAATCTTCGCTGTTTTAAAAATGTGCGCTATCTTTTTGTGGATTATTATGCGAACACAAAAGCTTGGATGACGTCGGACATTTTTGGAGTGGATAAGGAAACTCGGCAGAAAAATGAAAGTGTAAGAAAAAAAAAATGCCTTGCTTGTGGATAATTGTTCTGCGCACCCACGTGTGGACGACCTCCAACACGTTCAACTATTTTTTCTTCCGAAAATACCACATCACTCATACAGCCAATGGATCAAGGAATCATACAGAATCTAAAACTATATTATTAAAAACTTCTCGCCCACAAAAAGCTGGCTGCAATTGATCAACAAGAAGACTTTAAGGAAGATATCTTTGGGGCTCTGTACAACTTGAGGTAAGTTTGTGGATTAGTGATGCCAGAGACCATACAGAACTGCTTTATGCGCACTTTCTTCCCCCCCCCCCAATGAGGAATTTCATGGATTCTCCCATCAGATATTCCACATAGCCTTGAAGAGGATGGTTTACATGAAGGTATTGGAATTCCGACGGATGAGTTTGTTCGGATGGCTGTTGAAACAGATGACAAGGAACAATGCTGAGCAGCTCTAGCAGATGATGATATTATCGCTGCCATCAAAATGGATAACGTTTTAGAAGACGGCACTGAAGACAACATAATTGATACTGATGCTACTGATGAATCGGAAACACTACCATTGTCGTGTTTGATACAGAGAGGCCTTTTCAATGTACGATGGTTTGACAAGATTTTTTGCGCAATCAAACTCATTGATAATATCAGAAGAAGCGCACGGTCATTTTGAAAAGTTTCAGCGTCTTCTTCAAAGAGAACAACTATCAAGGCTCAAACAGAAGAAGCTTGCATGACGTTCAGAAATGCGTGTACTCTTATTATCTCCAATACGAACTTGTTGTGCTAACAACATTTAATTTGAATTAATTTAAATTTAAAATAAATTAAATTTTATTGCAATTTTATGCATTCATTATGCTATAGATAATAACGTAAATTACATGTTCATGTATTTGTCATTAAAATCTTTTACAGCTACATGTCTTTGCATTTTGAGAGAATTCATAACTTGTCATCATTTTAAATATAAAATAATAGTAAAACTGTATTGAAAGAATAATTTTATTTTAATACCTCATTAGCATGTATCAATGTGTACAATATTTTGCCATTATTAATCATATCAGCCTCATATCTCTTGTTCGCTTTTATGTACTTTTCACGATGACTTCTGTAACCAAGTACATATACTGTTTAAACCAAAATGTTGACAGGTTTTCATTTCCATGTGAATAGCCACATCTCATTGGTAGCCTCAATAAGTTGGGAACAGACTAAACAAAATATAGACCAATTTAAGTAAATATATTTGAAGCCTGTAAATAACAACTATGCAACTATGTGCTAATAACGACAATGAATATCGAATATCGTGAATGTTTTTCGTATCAGGATGTGACCGATGCAATATTTTATTATTGATTTTATTGCAAAAAGGTAACCAAAATGTAATTTGTCAATATACAAGAGTATTTCACACTGGTTTTGTCTTCATGTACTCTAAAATTTCCATTGTTTGTTTTCTCAAAATG